TAAAATACGCAATTTGGATGAATGTAGATTATTAATAAAATTGTTTCTTACCCGGTTATTCATTTATAGTATAATGGACAAGGTGGTTATGTGTTCACGCAACTTTGACGCCAAACGTAGGCTGGAATTACAAGAAAAACAAAGTCGTTAGCAGAAATTAATTAAGGTACCAAACAATAATCGAGATTAAAAGAATTGAAAGAAATGTTGTAGGAACGAGATAATTTAGCAAATAGCCAAAGTGGAAGTACAACATATTATAATTAGGATAATATCTCACGTTTTGGTTTAAAATAGTTTAGTATATTAGAATAAATTTGTGTTGTAAAATATTAATTTAATTATAATTAGAGAAATGGGATGTTATTTTGAAATTTGTAATAATAATTCTTGACTTTGAAATAGTGATCGAGATTAGCAATATATTTGTTTCAAATGTGTTGGAAAGAAAAAAAATCAAATTTTGAATAATGGCTAAACTTTGCGTAGTAAGAATGACTGATTAGTGTGCATGCTGTAAGTGAATACATAAGACTTCATGTTCTTAGCCTATACACAGTGTTGTACATCAGACAATCTTTTGGACATTTGGACAAAAAATAAATCCTCATTATCAAAATATTAAAACAAATTCACTCAATATATACATGCAAAAGTAAACTGATTATGTATGCGAAATCGGCCACCCGGGCCAGCTTTATTGTTATAAAAAATAAAAGTAAAATATAGATGTGTTCTAAAAACATGCACTTTTTCGTTTAGTCAACCTTCTGGTTTTACTATTCTTCCTGAGTCTTTTTTGTTCCGGTTCTTCTCTACGCGGTGAAGAGACAGTGGGACTTGAGTGAACATTTCGAGGCGGATGCGAAATAGCTTGCTCTAACGCCTGCGTGAGCAAACTCTTATTCACAATTATGATATTTCTTAAGGTTAATAATAATCGTATAAGAGGCTCTACATGCCACGGATGTCTGAAGTTAATGGGATATCTGCATGATCCAGGTGGAAGTATCTGGTATTTCATTTGTATCATTCATGAGTATATTCTCTCACCAGCCACCTGGATTCCAACTACACCGAACTGATTATGAATAGGTCTACATGCAGAATTTATATAGCTACTCCCATCCAACAATTCTCTCCATAATTTTATTTCATCCTCTTCTTTTTTAGTGGCACTGCAGGAGACACGCGAACATTCTGCGAATAAAAATTCCACTAATTTTCCATTACATTTTACATTCTGCGAATAAAAATTCCACTAATTTTCCATTACATTTTTCTAGTGCCATTATATCCGGCTTTTTACTCATTTTCCTTGCCCATTCTATCGTTTCTACGTGCCTTACTTGCCAAGCTTTGGCGTTCAGCTGTACTTAAACATATACAGCCATTTGGTAGGTCACTCAGAGTTGCCCGAAGTAAAGGCATGATTATATCAGTAATGTAAGTCCCTTCACTTTGCATATTACGGGACTTGGGGTGTCCAGTGTACTATGTAGATCAAACATATGTATAGTCTCAAAAAATTAAATGAGTGAGATTTTTTGTGTAACATATGTGCCGATTTATATTAAAATATTAAGATTTTGACGGAATTTCATTATGTTTATTAATAATTTTTTGTAATGCTTAAAAAAACGCTTCAATTTATTCAAATTTAAAGTTCAATGGTTAGTTTGGTAAGATTTCTAGTCAAATTAATATGTAAAATTTTGAGAAGATACGATTTGAAATTTAATATTTTATTATTAATAGACTATTAAATTTCAAAGCGTATCTCCTCAAAATTTTACATATTAATTTGACTAGAAATCTTATTTAATTAATCATTGAACTTTAAATTTGAATTGAAGTGTTTTTTTTAAAAAAAATTTTTATTAAAAATTTATAGATCTAAAAATAATTTATCTAATGATTTCACGTGGTTACACAAATCTGTGTTATTAACGATAACGATAACGGTAGGGTGTTTGATCGACTAATTGTAACAAAAATTGATATAGACCCATAGTTAAACAATTAGGGCAATTTTTTTATATGATCATGCTGTTACACAAACGAAAATCATTTTTTAATAGTAATTTACTATACGAAAGTGATAAATCTTTAAAATTCGACTCCCCTAACAGTATTAATCATTTGAACTTAAAGAAAATATAGAATAGGTTAAAAAAGTGTGCTTTTTAATTTATCATGAGGATTTTTTCTTTTGTATTTAAAATTTTAATTTTTTTATAATACATTGATACTCTAAAATGACTATTTTGTAAATAACTCGTTTAATAACTTAAGTGTTAAAATTTTAACACGAGTGTTTGAAATAATAATTATGATGCATTAACTAGTATATTTACTTCTTCAAAATTCTAAACATTCGCTGAGGAGATGCAATTTTAAAAATAATATAACAAAAATTTTCTAATATCACAATGTATTATTTGGTTGGTGCTTGGTTTAATTAATGATCCTTAAATTACTCTAAATAGAGATTTTGATGTGACTACATGATTGTACTATAATGATACACGAAATTTGCATATATAATGCCAATAAGTACGTACATACTTTAGGACTGTCCTAGCATAAGATCAGGTGTAATATAAAATTAAACTAAATTAACCAAAACTCTAACGCTAGTAGCATTTTTGCCATAATGAAATAGATCATGCATTTTTTTTTTGATGATTCGATCGAAGGTCATTCAATATATTCTTTTCATCAGTATCAATGTCGTCATTATCCAAGGTTGTTGATTTCAGTTGAGTTTTTAATTCCTATTTTGCTTTCGAATGTGAAAAAAAAACAAAAAATAATATGAATTTGCATTTTGTTATCAGTGGTCTATTACATCAATCTTATGTAAGAATTGCATCATTTTTAATTGACAAAATTTTTAAAATTGAAATATTGATCAATCAATTTTAATAATTAAGACAAAAATAGATTCTTGAAAATTTTGAACGAGAATTGTAGTAAAATTGTTATATAATAAACTTGCGTTAAGAGTAGAGTTCAATAAATTATCAAAAATCCTCGAATACTCATAACATTACGCAGTGGCCCATTTGATGGTTAGAGTGTTCAGATCTAAGCGATTGTAGGAATTTTTTATTGTTTGAGTAATGAAATCGCATAAGTTTAGAGAATTTTCATTGATTTAACCTGAAACGTATAGGTCTAATTATTATTATTTATTTGCAATCTTGAGATTGGTTGTTTTGTATAGACAAAAGCATGTCAAATTATATCTTTACTAGTAATTTATTACAACACATATCAAAACGTTGTAATTGTCTCTAAAATACAGTTCTGAAATCAGTATCATTCACTTTTCATAAAGACAAACTTTAACATAGTATAATTATCTTCAAAATGCGGTAATTGTCTTTAACATAGTACACTGTCTTCAAATCACGATAATTATCTTTAACATAATATAATTGTCTCCAAATGATAATTGTCTTTAATATAATATAATCGTCTCCAAAATGCTGTAATTGTTTTTAATTTATTTACTTTTTATCAAAGACAAATGTTAAAACATTCATAAATATCAATAAAAAGGAAAAATGATATACTTTTAAAATTTATTTAAAAAATTACATAAATTTAAAAAAACATTTGCATTAAAGAAATTTGCTATATTTATTTACAATGCCTAAATTTTCAAAGAAACGTCGCCAAATGATACAACTAACGGCTAATCGTGAAAAAAATAAAAAAAATAAAGTTGAAAATCCTTTACAATGTCTTAACGATGTTGATAATGTTTCTGAAGAAAAATTGATCGAACTTATCCAAGATTTAGGTGATGACGAAAAAGAAGATGCAATAAAATTACTAGAAAATATGAGGTACCCGCAAGGAAAAAAAGAGGGAAAAATCATATCCCAATATTTGCAACAGCAATTAGTTAAAATAATCTCTGACTCCTTTTATCGGCATCAAATGAGTTATTCTGTCTTAAAAGAAGAGTGTGATCAACTTTGACTTCAAAATAAAAAATTAAACCAAAAAAATGAAGCTCTTATTATAAAAACCAAATCACTCGGATCTCAAAATCGTCATACTCGGCAAAAAGTATCTCGTCAAATATCTGAAATACGTTCCTTGGTTCGTAGATCTAAAAAAATATCTTCTGAAGATTTTAAAAAACAAGTTAAAGCTCTTTTTAAATCAAATGATCGGCACTACTCTCCGAACATGATTTGGCTTACAATCAAATTAACTCAAATCGGTCAAGTTTCAATGCGTGCAACTATAGAATGCACAAAATTAATATATGAATTCTTAACAGGTGAATCACCAAAAAGTTGGCTTTCGATGAAACGAATTACGACTTGGCATAAGCACGTATCGGAATTAGCAGTTTCTAATTTTGTTAAATGTACTCAACAATCAAATGCATTCGGTATTACTGCAGATGAGTCAACCCGTGGGCAAGACAAAAACTTAGTAATCTGTTTCATGTATTGGGATAAAGACCAAAATTATCCAGTAGCAAGTATGGTTAATTTAAAAATCATAAAAAAATGCAATGTGGATACAATTGCAACTTCAGTTTTTGATACTTGTCAACGATATCAACTTGATATACAAAAATGCATGACTTGGCTTACTGACAATACCGCATATATGTCTGGAAATGCAAATGGGGCTATCATTAAATTTAATAGATTGGCAAACTCTAATTCAATTTGAATTGGATGTACCTTACATATAATTAATATTGTTTTTACAAATTTCGAAAATGAAGCTTTTGGACGTGTATCGGGATTTTCAAGAAAGCCACATCCTTTTAATCTTCTATATCTCGCTTGGTACCTTCATAACGGCTATGGAAATAAGAATAGTAATGCGCCAATGAATATAAAAAGTGAATATATTCAGAATTTATATAAATCTCTTCTTGGGCATTGTTATTCACAATACCAAATGCCATTACAAACCCGTTGGGAATACGAATTATGTGCTGCTAAACAATATTTAGAAAGAAGGGAGTCACATCTTCAATTTACAGAATGGTTCATTAAAGTATTAGAAAATCATTCTAATACGGCATCATCCTATTTGAATGATTGACGTCTCTTCCATACCTGGCTTAATGACACAAAACTTAATATTCAATTAAAATGTCTAACAAGATTTGGTCAACACTTTTTCATCCTCTTAATGGTGTTTCTTACTGGTCAAGATCCTATACCCCGAATTTTCAATGACGGAAACTGGATAAATTTACCTCCTGGTCGGCGAAGTCATGAAATGCCTAACAAAGTTTTAGAATGGATAGATTTTTTAACTGAGGCTACAAATAATTTTGACATATTTTTTTCTGATGAATTATTTGAAGCACTCGAATTATTAAGCGAATCGGAATTTGGAGACTTATTTGATTCGTTAGAAAAAGGCATGAAAAAAGCCATAATGCACTTTGAAAAATGGATGCTTCAATGGCTTAAATTACCCTTATCAGTCTGTCGATTGGGAGGGAATTCCGCTCATTCTTTTGCAAGAAGTTATCGTCATATCATTTTAAATTTATCAACAATTCTTCAGCCATCTGAAAGAGAAATAACATATATTAAACAACTTGAAAATGACATTAAAAATAATAATTTAAATGACTTTGGGTTAAGATCACTCTTCGTTTCAGATTCGGTTTTTCGTGAACAATTTAATCATTTTTGTAACACATCTAATCCTAACTTGTTTGATTATCCACTACTTTATGAGTTTGTAATGACTAAAATTTATTACATAATAGTACATCAGCAGCAAGTTGAGGGTATGTTTAACAAGTTGGATCTGAAAACTCACCCCAACATGTTACCGAATCTTAAAGAATCTAAATTACGACTTTCTGGAATAAATTTTACAAAAGAAGACATTAAAAACGGGATCATTAATATTCATAAAAAAGAAAAAAAAACCTACGTAGAGGAGGAGAAGGAATTTGGTATACAAAATGCGTTGGCTACATTTAACAAAATATTTCAAAATTAAGTTTATTTTTTGTTATCGTTATCATTATCGAGTGATTATTATGTAAGCAATTATCACATAATAAACTAGCCAATCGTATTATTCAAAAAAATTTACTATACAAATCCGATATGGGTCTACAAATAGGTTTGATTTAATCAGTTGATCAAACACCCTAACGATAACGGTCATAACGATAATAAAGAAGTAAAATATCGGGACCGTCGGGACGATAGTCATCTGCAGCATATGTAAAATTAACACTAATATATTTAATTAACATTGATATATTTAATTAACATTGATATATTTAATTACTGATATATTTATCTTAGTAAAGTGTGACCTTCCGGCAAATTGTGTATGATATGCAAGTTTTATTCCACGTTCAATTAAAAGAGTAAAACCAGTAGTATATGTGTACTAAATTTCTCGACTTCCAAACCAACAGAACTTGTACCTTTCAAATTTATAATTTATAAAGATAATCAATTAGAGAATCCGCGTAATAATGACTGGATTTTATTAATAATCTACATTCATCCAAAATTGTGTATCTTG